TGGGGTGCCGGCCTGGGGTGCCGGGCTCGTGGGCGGCCCCGGGCGCACGGCCCATGCGCAGTGCCAGCCCGGGGTGCATTGCCGGCCCCTGCCCCAGGCACGCGGAACATGCGCAGTGCCAACCCCGGGCGCATGGCTCGTGGGTGGCCCCACCCCCGGGTGCGCGGCGCATGCATGGCCCCGCCCCCGTGTGCCCAGCACGTGAGTGGCTCTGCCCCCAGGTGCCCGGCAGCCACGCAACGTTGGGGACCACTGCTATATAGATATGAGCTACAAAGGAAAAATATATCTCCTCTCTCTTTCTTCTAATCCAGACCAAACAAGATCAACAATCTTGCACATGGCAGGGAGATGGATAGGAAGATCTCAAGGTTTTTTTTCCATCTCTGACTTCCATGATAAAGTAGACGGGGTTGGAAGAAAAAGGCTACACAATCACACAGAAATAGCTGGATAAGAAGCTAAAGATATTTGCTCCTGCATACTCAACATACCATGCAAGGTTGGAGCCAAATGTCTTACAATTAACTAGCATTAATTAATAAGCCATTGGGAATCATATAGCTAACAGCCTGCAAAACTTTATTTTTAGTTAATTTAGTGGTGGTGAAATAGTGCAAGTTTCCCTCATGGGGCCATGTCAAAATTCCTCATTCCTAGGACCCACATATGAAGTGAAAAGGAAGCTCGGTCTCCATGGTCCATTCAGTCCTTAACTTTTGAAGCTCAGACTGCAAACAAGCTTGATAATTAGGACCAGTTGTGATGGCAGCATGTCTCCACTGGAACCTGGACTGAGACCAAACACATTTCACACAACCCACTAAATGGCTTTCAAATGCTAATGCCCTTGATGGTTACTGAGGTGAGCTGGATGTTCACTGGCAACCCTATAGAATCAATGTGGCAATAGCCCTTAAATACATGAGAAAAACAAACCACCACAGCACACATAGTGGGGGGATGGTAAAGAGGTTGATATTCTTCTCTTCAAAAGAAATTGCTTTTCTTCTTTCACTAAAAACAGCAATAAAGCAAAATAACAGACTCTGCCCACACCTCTTCCCAATTATTTACTCGGAATTATATACCGCCCCCGTGAAGCTATATTCCAAACCTTCACTGGTCTCAAAGGTCACATATTTATCTAGAGAAGAAAGGAAAGGAAATACTT